ATGCCTACACACTGACATTTGGTTCAGGGAGATGAAAATATTACACAAGCTCTTTCAAACCCAGAATTTATAAGGACACTTAGTACAACTAATTGACCAATGTTGACAGCAAAGAAAGCTAATTGAAGCTCTGTTTATTTGTTGGATGAGGAAAAAAAGAGGAGGAAATGTTCCATGATGAAACGCAGCACCCAGCATTCCCAAACATTACCTCACAACAATGTTTTAGGCTCATTTGTCATAAGCCACAAACAAAAACAAAACGCACATGTACTTAGTATGGCTTCTCAACATAGTTCTCCATGGAAAGTAATCTCCCGGGTTCTTCTAGTTCTTGCTGTGATTATGTAATTCACTAGTTTAGTAAATATGCTATCTGCCAATTGTACCACATTAACACTCCCAGCTCGGCCCTCAAATGTAATAATTGGATTTAATTTCACACTGCTGGCAAGTGTACAACATTTCCTCATACTAGATGAGAGATGGTCCTGTCAAATTACCTTTTGTTCACTTCACTCTGTACAGCAGAGTAAAGCCCCAGCACAGGCTTATCTTAACTACTGCCTTCTTAAATTGCTTTGGTATTCATTTTCATTAGGAAGCACAAACCACACGGGGAATTCAAAATACACTCATACTAGTTACACCTGTAGCCAAAGACCCTGTAGCCTTAATTGGTTTTGAAACCAGGGCTGCTATAATTTTCTTTTGCCAGTGCTTTCAATGCTACAAAGAGCAAAGCTGCTCAGTACTTCAGAATCCAATAAAACCGCACTGACTTTTGTCAAGAACAGACTCAAAAAATTAAGCTTTTTATTTATTTATTTAAATAAGAAGTTTTTCATTTGCTTTATGGAGAAAACCAATGGGATTCAGATATTTTTTTTTAAATCATAATTCAAAGCAAAGCAGCTTTTGGGGCGTCACTGTACAATATCTTACAGTGCCGCAGGAAATGAGCTCCAGGCCCAAACCTCGATCTCCTGAGATCTGTGGAGATACAGGAAACAGCAACCCTGCTCCACTGGAAGTGTGCCAAAACAAAACAGGAAAAAATAAAATAAACTTAATGAATATGCTAACTCACCATAGGTCTGTGACTATTTTTCTCAGTGGGTCTCTCTCATTACCTGTCATTATGAATTCCCTCATCTGTTTCTTTCATGGCTTCAGGATTCTCGTCCTACATGAAGCACCTCCAGTAAACTGTTTTTTCAGAAGTCTGGTATTCAGCAAGGCATTAGATGTTGTCCCTGCATTTTGCTTTAAATGGCCATTATGTGTTGCTAATACATTTTTGCACATAATAAAATAACTTTTCCAAATAGAAAGATCTTTTCCTTATTTCCTACATGTTTACAATGTAGGAAGCTGATTTTCTTGTTATTTATAATCAGCTCCTATTTAAGTGTCAGAAAAAAGCTAACATCAGAGTCAAGTGTTAGCTGGGTTTTAAGTGCGTGTGTGAGGATGAAAACTCTAACAAGGAATATTTACAACTGAACAGAAACATTGTTTTCCCAATGGGATTTTTAAACCTTCAGTGAACTATTGACTATTGATCTTACTCTAAATCTGTGGAAATGAATTTCTATGAAAATGTCTTTAATACTTAAGTCAACCTTATTTTACCTGCTGTTTACTAGTAATACTTCAAAACACCCTTTCAGAAGAAATGACAATGGCAAAGAGTGGAGAGAGAGAGAGAAAAAAAAAAAAAAAAGGAAAAGCCATGTTGAAAGTTAAGAGATGACTTCTTGGAGGGAATTCTTAGAAAAAATACATGAGATATGCAAAGAGAATGTGCTCATAAATGTCAATGGGATTCTTCAATCTGATTGTTTCCCCTTTGACCTGATATGTACGGAACAACAATGTAATTTTGAATGCAAAGAGAAAATAATATCTGACATGTGTTGACTAAAGTCATAATTTGCTTTATACTTTTAAGATTAAAGATGAAGGCCATAACGTGTAACCATTTTTTTTTTTTGAGAGAGAGTAAACCTCAGGCAATAGAAAAATGTGACTATTTTTGTAGATAAATGCTAAATGAATACTGTCTAACAGTGGTTTATCCCATGAAAACAATTCTACCCCTCATTGAATGGTGATGCTTGGAGACAGAAGTAGTCCAATGAATATAAATTTTACCAGAATTCTGGAATATGCTTTGACAGAAGAGAAATTACGACAGTCCCCTAATTCTGACTGATGGTGTTTGCTAAAGAATATAACATCTTCAAGGCTTATTGTGGCAGCATTTCAACAAGCAGCGAGCCCTCCCTTAACTGGGAGCCTTAATTGTTGTGCAAGCTTTCGAAAGAGCATCTGCTTCAGCTCACTGAATTCATGTCACATGCAGCTTTGGCAGTGTAAAACACACACGAAACACAAATCTAACGTTTAATAATCTTCACTCTTGATTTATAGCGCTTTCGTCAGCAAGGGCAGCTCTGACCAGGCGCAGGGGAGGGTGAAGCAGCCGCTGTGCCCTCTAGCGGGAAGAGCCCCGCTCCCGCTGGCGCACACCTTGGTCACAGCGACCCGCAGTTAAAAAAACATCCAGAGGCAGCCAGACAAGTGCTCGTGTCCCTAGGAAACGATTCGGCTTGAATTGATCCGACCTGCTTTTACCCTGAAAGGTAATTCTGAGAACTTGGGGAAACGTAAATAAATAAATAAATAAATAAATAAATCTCCCACCCACACACACACACACCCTGACAGGGCATACTAAACATTTGCATTTCTTGATGCTGTTAATGTCATTCACTTTCAATATGGTGTTTTGCTATCACTTAAAGTAAAAGAGTATTTCAAGAATATGTGAAAAACATCTTCCCTTTAAGGATCTGCAGTAACTTCAAAGATTTATTTATTTTTTTTAAACTTTAATTTTTCGAAGGTTTTACCCAAGCTATTCCAAAGGGATGCAGTAGACGCTAAATAGAGTGAAACTTTGAAATGGCTCTTTTTATTTTTGTCCACAGAAACTGAGTCCCCCTGGTTTTACTTAGTAGTAGTTCTATTTTTGCTAATCAGACACAGCCTATATACTGAAATATATACTGTTAAAAATCATTATATATACATACATAAAAGTAATGATGAAAGTGTGTTAAATACAACTTTGATTATGTTAGTTACATTTAATTATTGCTGTCATAATACATATTTTTTATCGAAGGGAGAAGGAATAAGACTATGTGGTTATACACATCCATCTGTCAAAACTGGCATCAGATTGTCCAGTTGAAGGAAACAGCCTCTTCAAGTATTTTCTTCAGAATGTATATATCAAAGTAATATTTGCCTTATTATTAACTCCTTCATAATTTATATTATGTTCAGTAACACACAAGACACTAACAGATGATTTATGGATAAGCAAGCTGTTGGTGTATCTTCTGTTTAGCACCTCCTGGTACAGACATTGCTGACTATTACAACTGAATAGCCTAAGTCACCGATGCGCAGTGATTATTTCCCTACTGGCAGGTTATATTTCTTTTAGTCAGCACTGACAGTTTCTTTTAAAGGTACGATGTTTTGTAGGCTAATAAACTTTGTCACCTTAGTCCACTGCCACACACCGCAGTCATTTTCTTTCTGTACTCTGGCAGACACACTTTTATTTCTCCTGATAACTAACATTAACAAACACCAACAACTGCTACCTAAAGCCCTTAGAGAAGCAGCATGAGTTTTGCAGCAGTGCATGAAAAGCCTCCTCCTGGCTTTTCCCCTTGGCCCCAAGTGACATGTGAGCCCCCAGCAACCTGCTGAGCTACCTTGTCATTTAGCAATTCCCAAACTCAGCGGTAGGCCCCTGACTGGGAAAATCCCTGCTCTGTCTGGCATATTATCTCACCTGGCATTGCAGAAAACTCCCAAGTCTCCCTAGTTCAGGTCAGTCACTCTGTGACCACAAAACACCTCACATGTATGAAACCTTTTAGGAAAGAAGAAAGGGGCAGCTCTAGTACACCAGGGAGGCTGGTGAACATGTTTCATCTGATAATGAACTGGGTAGTATTTCAAACATAAAAACATCACTTTTACAAATATATATATATATAAGCTAGAAGCTGCTGCAGCAAGGTCCCCTGACACACACAAAAAACACGCTTTTCCTCACTTGCTGCTTAAATATCTATCCGCAAACGCACCAGGCTTTCCTTTAGCAGCTTTCCCCTCCGCAGCACAGGAATGCAAGGCACAGAAGGCTTTAGCGATCAAAAGGGAGCCCCACGCTGTGGTAAACAGTGGCGGGCCAGAAAGCCCCGCAGGTGCCATGTGTCACGCATTAACAGGTGTCTCTGAGAAGCACTAACGAGAGGACCCCAAGCGAGCTGAGCCGACAGAGCAACCCTTGACTAACAGGTCCCACGGCCCCGAGGGTATCCTTCCATTCTCTTGCTCCTTTTCTCAACGCCTGCTTGTTCAGGGAAGGCTGCAAGCTACCAGCTTGAGCAAGGGGAGCTGAGTGCCCGGGCAGGAGCTGCAGGGAAACTTTGCCTGTGCTTCCACGGGTCGCTGCCGGGGGAGAAGCTGGGGGGTCACCGGGGGTCTCAGCCCACTGCCCAGGGCTCCCTGGGGTCTCTCCCCTTTCCCTACCGAGCCCTTCGCCTCGGGGGGGGAGTGTCTCTGAGGCCGGGAAGGAACCCATGGGGACCCGACGAAGAGCTCTGGGAAGGGAACAGCACCGGTGACGGCGGAGCAGATCGATGACGGGAGGAAAAGTCCCGACTTGTCGTTAAAATAAATAAATAAAGCGAGAGAGGGGGAAGCTCTTCCCAGAGAAGCTGGCGATGAACGAGGGGTGCAAAACCAGCACCCCGGGCCTCCCTCGGGAGCGGGGGGAGCCGGCCCCCAAACGCCGTTTGCTCTCTGCGGTGATGCTGCGGGGGGTGGCGGGGCCACCCCCAGCCCTGACCCCGACCCCAGCCCCGTGTCCCCATCACGGTCCCGGTCCCGGTCCCGGTCTGGCTTACCGTTGCTCTGGCTCGGCGTCTCCTCGGCGGCGAGCTGGCAGCGCTCGCTCAGGCATTGGAAAAGTAATAAAAATCCAGCGGCTAGTTTGCTTCTCCGCAGCCTCGCCATAGCACGGAGCCTGCCGAGGCAACTCTCCTGGGCGGGGGTGGGAAAGTCCGGGAGGCGGCGGGGAGCAGCCCTAGCAGGCACCGAGTCGCTCTCTCCTCCCTGCAGCTCTCATGTAGCGGGGGGCAGCCGCCGGGGCTGGATGGGGAGGGGGAGGGATGCTGGGGAGGGCTCCGTCCCCCCAACTCTCACAGCCTCGCCGCTCTCAGTCCAGAGGCATCACCGCCGGGAGAAAACAAGAGCAGCCTCGCCCGCCAAGTGCCAAACTCTCCCTTCCTCGCAGCCTGCCGACAGATTTTTAGGAGAGCCGCTGAGATCCTCCCTTCCTGGCTTGCCCCCACCCAGCTCCCTTCCCCCGCAGGGTGAGGCAGGGTGCCTTAGGGACGGTGCCTCCCCTCGGCGCACGACTAGGCGACAAAACCCCTCCGAAGGGAAGCGAGCGGGGAAATCTTCCAGCCGGGGCCGGCCCCGAGCCCCGGAGGGGGGGGGGGCGCAGGACCGGGAGGGCGGGCGGATGCGCCGCGGGCGGGGACCCGCGAGTTCTCCCTCTCTTTCGGGCTGGTTCCCGACACCGGTAGGCGTTAGAGCAGGGCCCGGGGCAGCCCCCTGCCAGGAAGGGGGGGGGCTGCCGTGGGGCCGGATCCCCCCCCGCCCTCCTCCGCAGGGGCGCAGGCGCCGGGGCCGCGCTCGGTTCCGCTCGGCCGCAGGGACGAGGAGGTCCCGGGAGGCGCTGCCCCGAAGCTGTGGGGTCCCACGGCGGCCGGGGGCGGGCTGGGGTCGCTGTTCCTCGCCCCTCCCTGCGAGGCTGGAGCTCCGCCGCTGTGCGGGACGAAGAGAGCCCGGCCCGCGGGCTGCTGGCTGCTCACAAGTTGCTCTGCAAAGATGTGTCTGCCTCGCGGAGTGACAAAGCAAAGCAACCCCCCAGTGCCACTTAATGCTGCCTTCCCCCTCCCCCCCAGTATTTTTACTTGTGTTTCCGGATAGACGAGCTTCCCTTAATTCCCCCTCCCCGATTTATTTATTTATTTATTTTCTCTTTACCACTCAGACTTGCTCATGTATGCTCATCCCCCCAAAAGTTCAAGGACTGGAGGCTGTGTCCTGCATACATTGCTCTACATGCTTAATTTAACGCACCGTGAATAATCCCATCCCCTACATTAATCTGGGAACAACGGCACGGAGACAGAATCCAGCGGAGGGCACATCAGTCAGGCACAGACAAGCGACAGGGGCACCGGGGACCGAGCGGCGGCTTTTTACCAGTTCAGCAAACTGTGGCGCTGGTAATCAGTCGAGCTCCATATAGAGAGCTGTGAATACACCAGCCTCTCAACCCTTGCTACAAAATAATTAAATTAATTAGGATGACAATTAAATTAATCAAATAAATAGGGCTACAGAATGTCAGACATAGAAGATAACTAATACTTAATCACAAAGGAACAACCAGTAACGAGACTCTGTTTTCCCTTAATTTGCCGCTGTTTCTGAGATTAAGAATTCATCAGCTTCATCGTAATTGTCTTGCTCTTTAATCTTTGATGTGTTTATGTGTAAATCAAAGCAGAATGCTTGTGGTTTTAAGAAGTATAAGCAGAAATTTACAAAATCTTTTCAACATATATTCAGATAAGATCCTAGAGGCTAATAGCTATAAGGTTTATCAATTTGAATTTACAGTGGGCCCTTCTAGTCCAGTTTTTGCACACCCCTTGAAAAAAAAAAAATCTTCCTCAGCCCATCCAAATACTGCTAAAAAGTAACTGCAGAAGTCCTGTTTTAAGAGAAGACATTAGCAAGTTTATGCTAAGTAAGAACAGGAATAAATCCAAGCCTCAATGAAATCTGTGGGAATTTGGGGAGTAGGATCACCCTGTATATCAGGTGATCTGGATTATGCCGTATATTTTAGAGTAGATTTGGTCAAATTATTATTAGTTACTGTTGTTTCCTAAACAACAAACAACATGGGAGAGAGATGTTTCTTCATGTGATTCAAATGCCTTTTTTTTTTTTTTTTTCTCTCATGACACTTGGTCATATTGCCAAAGTTCCCCCAGGTTTTACTGGGGTTGCTGAGCAGGTTTTGAGTTTTCGGCCTTTACTTGAAGGGGCAGAGATTTAGTGTTAAGGAAGAAATGCATCTCTCTCTTAGCTGTTCACCTGCATTACTGTTACATGAGAATAAAAATGTTAAGAACTGAGAAATTTCAAGACCTGTTTTCACCTGCTTTTGTACTTTTTAACTGTAAATTAGGATCTTGTACAGTTGTGGTTAATTTCAATCTAAGAAAGATTGAATGATTTGGAAAAAAAAAAAAGTGCACATTTAGCTAAAATAAATAATAAAAAAAGCTTTAAACCCTCTATGTATAGTCTAGAAAAACCTCAATTTTCTTTCATTTTTCATCTGCTTCTCAGACTTACAAAGAATATTTATAGTTTTGGATTTATATTCTTCATAGATGGATGACAAAAGGAAAGGATTAACAATAGTCAGCTTAAGCAAGCAGTTGAAGATAAAAGTGCCAGCAACATATTGGTCCCACAGTCCTAATTCGCAGTACTCTACCTAATTGTGAAATTGTTTCACACTGTGCCCCCTGGGACGTTAGCATGCGGTTGCTGTATTCAGTGCTGCTTCTGCTCCAAGGTGAAAATCAGACAGTGTTCTCTAGCAAAGGCCATATCTCTTTTGTTAAAAGAGATAATCAGGACATATCTATATCTTGGCATAATTCTGTGTAAAACCACAAGCAAAACATTGTATTGCATTGAAAAGAAAGAAAGTTAACAATGAATCCTATAATGATTAATGACAACATGTCATTGCTAGAGAGGCATTCAGAGCAGAGAGGTATATTTGTTCATTGTTATTTATAAACCAGAAGTAAGACTGAAAGAAAAAACTTCTTGAAGGCTTCCTGAGGTTATGAGCTGTATTTACTTGGAATACAGCACCTGTGATAATTTTTCATTAATCTCATGTGCTTCTATCTTCACCCTCCTTACACCTTATCTCACCTCTCTTAGGGATATATCTTGCAGTGACATAAACAGCAGTAGTTCCAAAGAAATCAACATGAATGCTTTCATTTTTGCTATTCAAGGATATGGCTGAATAGTCTTCTCATCAATCATTCAGGAAAGAAGGGTGGAAAGATTCTCCCTGTTTATACTACTTACAAGTGCTCACTCATTCACACATTCGTTTAAGATTTTCTTTTTATTTTTAAATCGTCATAGTCTCTTCAACCTACTTGTTTTCTATGCTGACTGTCTCTGATTACAAAAAGCAGAGTTTTTAGCATTTCTTTTCTCTTTCTAAAGTGCTGTTATCTATTCTGCTCTGATAGGTACAGGTGAGGCACCCCTCAACCAAGCCTCCTGTAAGCAGTCAGTGCTAGCCTGGATAGATACCTGCTTTTCAATTTGAGAAGGCAGGGGAGGATCTTTGTTTCATTTGGGAAAAGGAACTAATAGGTAATTGCAACACCTGGGATAGCAGGGAGAATATCTCTGTGTTCCTTTCCAGGAACAAAACAAAGTGAGTTTTCCTGTTTAGTCAATTTACATTTGCTTTTGTTCTACAGAGAATTGTACTCACATAGTAGTAAATAGACTACAACCAGCAATATCTTCTTCTGCAACTGAGGAATGTCTAACAAATTACCCAGCTTCCCAGCTGCAGAGAGAAAAAGATCTAGATAATTTTAGTCATAAATGCTGTCAGCATTAGTCCACACAGGGACAAAATTGAGCATGTGGCCTTTATGGCGCAAGTGGTTCATAGCTTGATGCTATGAGCATCGCACTTGAAGCTGCACCTAGATCTTAACGGCCTGCAGCCAGTTTGCCACTGAGATTCACCTCCCTTTGGAGCTCTGCTGGTAGCTGATTAGGGCTCAAGAAGGTGAATAGTTTTGCTACTGGAAATTTGGCTGAAGCACTAGGTTTTGTATCGTCAAAGTGAGGTGTTAGAGCTGTGAATTTAGAGTGCTGCCCAGCTGGCAGCTGCCTTTGACTCTGCCAGTTCAAAGGAGGAGCACAGTGTTTTAGCTGAATCACTAAAGGACCATGCAAAACTTAGATGGGAAGTATAAAGCAAGGAGGTAGATTTCCTGTTAAGTAGGGGAATACAGTAACTTCCCAGAGAAACTGCACTTAATTAAGCCTTTGTTCTTGCCCTGTTCCCAGCTGGGAGAGCCTAGAGTCTCACCCCTCTGATTTCCTGGGGCAAGTGCTGAGGTTCCCTTCCTGGCTGACTCACAACCAGTAGGCATCACTGCCAAATTCGCTGTAACTCTGTGCATGGTGCTATATGCAAATGCTTGAGTTTGCATAATTGTGATTAATTAGGATATGCTTGCCTCTAAGAGCTGTGTGGTTAATGCTAGTGCAGCTTTGTTCAGTGAAGCTTTCTGCTTATCTCTAGAACAGCCGTATGACAAACCTCCCACATGAACTGCCTTATGCCTATGCCTCAATCTATGGTTAGGGAGTGCTTCCTGTGGGGGTAAAGAGATAGCTCAGTTTCATGGTGTGGTAGACACTTTGTGATGTGGAAGCTGGAACTGAGTCCCAGTAGCTCATGCAGTGATAAAGTGCCTGTGGTTTGCTGGCAATTTGAGGGGAAAACAAATTAAAGAGAAACATTTGAGCAAGAAAGACAACATTAAAAAGTAATAATGTTTGAGGCTAAACAAAAAGTTTAATCAAGTCAGTTTTAATTCAGTTTTGAACTCTGTAATGAATTTAAGAGAATTTTTGTGTGTGTGTTTTTTAATGGAGCACACTTTCAAAATGAGAACCCAAAAAGATCCAGATAAAGTTGAATCATCTGAACAAGAGATGCTTCCAACAGTCTTTCAATGAGTCTGCCTTTACAATAACATTGACACAGGCAACAACAATGCTGTACCAAACGATGCCTTTGCCTGCATGTGATCAGAAGCTCCAGGGATGTTGCTCAACTTTGAAAACCACAAGGCAGCAAAGCCCCAAACAGGGCCTGGGAGTTCCAAGTCCCACATCCCAACCTTTTAACTCTAGCAATGGCTGTGACCCTCATTCGACATATATCCAGTACAATGATAGCTACAGGACCCAAGAATAGAGAACGAACCAGACAGCTCCCTGAAAGATTGTGATAGAGCCAAGTTTAACAGAGATCATATATCAGTATAGTGCTGGTCAGCACGCTAAGATAAAGCCATATGAGAACTGCAAGATTCTAAAGGATAACAGAGATAATAATACAAACATAGAAATTAAAGTGAGAGAACAAAAAAAAAAGCAACTTTACCAGTGCCACTTCTATGTTGGGTCATGCAACAGGGAAGACATCTTTATCCTTTAATAAGGAGGAGGTTGTCCCTCCTCACATGTTCAACTCTTATTCTCTTCAGCTCAATTCTCCATCCTCCTGATCCTCTTTGGAATAGAGCTACATATCTGATGCCCAAGATCCTGTCTTGAGTTCCCTATTCTAATCCTCCTGCCTCCACATACAAGCTTTATGTTGACCTTTCCTCTTTCCTTTCTACCCACCTTTTCATTAAAAGTGTAATTCCTGCTTTTGTTCTGGCCTAATATACATCTTTGTGCTATTTGCGTAGCTTAGACGAGCACACAAGTCCCATTAGACAGCATGTGCTCTTTTTGAAAAGCAGTGAAGCATTTTGCTGTATTAATACTTTGATGTATTAGGGTTATGGTTTTCTCCTGTATCACTCTTGTCTACCCACTGATAGAATCTCTTCTGCAAAGTTCTTGATAAGAATGTGTCTGCTTTCAAGGAACAGTTTTGAAGGGTCTTTTTCCACCAACAAACTAATCACTGAACCTCACTAGCTGTTACAGTCTAGTTAAAGACCA